AGGCAAGAAGTTAGTTGACCGCAATGCAATCACGCGATGTAGAATATTAGTTTTTGTATTCATGACCTCTCGAACGATGATTTTGGCGCCAAATACGGCGACGCGGTTGACGAACCGACACGAGTTGAAGCTGGCGAACCCGAGTCAAAACACTGTCTTCGTACACAGTGTGTCACCGCCACTCTCGAGCACCAAGTTGGAATTCCTCCTTCCAATGGTATAACAGGTCCCTTCCGGGGTGAGCTGGTAGGAACTTTTGTATTGAATGCGAAGCGTTGATTGATTAACGGTATTGCGACGACGGCGGTCTTCGCGCGCTTCTGCAATCCAAATGCAACACCATTGCGATTAGGTGCGGAAATACCTTATGTACGACATGTGCTCTTAGAAGTGCGTCGTACTTAAAATCAAGTATAATGTCCCACATGTGACAGCACTTAACGGGAACTACCAAATCGCACTTTACGGGACAGGTTTCGCGCGATGCGATTGGCCAAAATGGCTCGATATATAGCCAATGGGTTGGCCGGATTGAGACACGACACATCGAATTAATCCCCTGGGATGCTGGTACACCACGTAAACGTTCCTACCAGGATAAGAGATGTCTTTATATACCCTCCCAACCGCAGGCATCTCGCGCCCCCATCCGAGCCTCGCTACAATTCTACGTCCTCCCTACCGGTGCTCAGTTGCACGTCAGAGTGAGCGCTGTATCGCACCCGTTGGTATAGTGTGGTATCGTAAATGTCGACCAACTCGAAAAAACAGCCACAGGAAGTGTAGTACGCAGGTGATAGTCTATCTCGAAACGAGGAGTTTACGGGGCCATGCGCGGGACGAAGGCCGGGATGCCCGTGATGGCGCGGCCGAGGATGAGCGCGTGCACATCGTGCGTGCCTTCGTACGTGTTGACGGCCTCAAGGTTCATCGAGTGGCGGACGACGTGGTACTCGTCCGAGACGCCGTTGCCGCCGAGCATGTCGCGCGCCGTGCGAGCAATGTCGAGCGACTTGCCGCACGAGTTGCGCTTGACGATCGAGATGATCTCAGGCGAGACGGGGCCCGCGTCCTGGAGCCGGCCGACCTGCAGGCACGCAAAGAGACCGAGGTTGATCTCCGTGAGCATGTCCGCCAGCTTCTTCTGGATGAGCTGGTTGGCCGCGAGCGGCGCGCCAAACTGGCTGCGGTCCAGCGTGTACTGGCGGGCGATCTCATAGCACGACGTGGCCGCGCCGAGCGAGCCCCACGCAATACCGTAGCGCGCGCTGTTGAGGCACGTGAACGGACCCTTGAGGCCCTTGACGTGCGGGAGCATGTTGCCCTTGGGGATCTTGACGTCTTCCAAGAAAATCTAAGCAGCAAGATTAGATCCAAGTGAACGCGACTTGACATACCATGCCCGTGGCCGAGGCGAGGAGCGTGGCCTTGCCCTCAATGTACGGCGTCGAGATACCGGGGGTGTCCTACACCGGTCATATAAGCCTATGTGTTTATAGGCAGAGTGGACGACGTACGCGGTCGACGATGAAGCCGCGGATGTCGCCGTGGTCGTCCTTGGCCCAGACGACCATGACGTCAGCGATCGGCGAGTTGGTGATCCAGTTCTTGGCGCCGTTGAGAATGTAGTGGTCGCCGTCAAGGCGCGCGCGCGTCTCCATCGAGCTCGGGTCCGATCCGTGGTTGGGCTCCGTGAGGCCAAAGCAACCGATGAGGTCGCCGGCCGCCAGCTGCGGGAGGTACTTCTTCTTCTGCTCCTCCGAGCCAAACTTGTAGATGGGCCACATGACGAGCGACGACTGCACGCTCATGGCCGAGCGGTACGCCGAGTCAACGCGCTCGACCGCGTTGGCGATGAGGCCGTACGAGACGTAGCCGACGCCGGCGCAGTCGTAGCCCTTGATGGTTGGGCCAAGAAGACCGAGCTCACCCATTTCCTTCATGATCTTCTTATCAAACGTGCCGTCGCGGTTGGCCTTGACGATGCGGGGCATGAGCTCTTGCTGGCAGTAGGCGTTGGCCGAGTCCTAAGAGCCATGCATCAGCCGATTTCGCCATCAAGAGGAGCGTACGCGGATGAGGCGCTCCTCGTCCGTGAGGCAGCTGTCGAGGTTCAGCGGGTCCTGGTAGTTGAAGGCGCTGGCCTTGGCCGCGAACGAGCGGACCTGCTTCTTGGCGGCGAAGCTCGAGACGCGGGACAGCATGGTGTGGTGGTGGTGCTTCGGCGAACGAAAGGGAAGTGAATCTAGCTCGCCACGGCCCAACCCCAGCCTGGGTGGCGGTTGTCAACGGCAAAGTACGCCGCACTTAACACGGCAATACATATATCAAACGATTCGGCAAAGTACGGCGGCCTGTCGCGTACTTTAGAGGAGAAAACGAACTTAGGAGGTGTAGAAAGGGATGTGTCGGTTGAAGTTGGGCCGGGCTCCGCCGATACGATTCGCTAAATAATCCACAGCGTGATGGCGTGCCAGGTGGCTGGACTTGCAGTTCAAGGACATATGCTGCCGTGGAGGATGGCAAGGGACAGCCTTGGACTCGCTGCCTGCTTCGTGGGCGTCGCGCCATCGACTGCTTCGCCCGGCGTCACCTAGATCGCTCACTCTGAGATTGCACTTGTCGTCGGGCTGTAGTCACACATGTGCAAGGCGCGCAGCGAGGCCGAGGCGCGCGCGCATCACCGTCTGGTACCGCTGCAAGGAGTCCTTGGGTGTCCGTGGACCATATTCTGGATGCCAAATTGGGTCAAGGTCAATTTGGTAGTATTTGGGCACCGCGCCGCTACCGAGAGGTCATGCAGGTGCTCTTGCTGATAGCTCGTACGAGTGCATTGGGGTGGTGACGACGACACGAGCGCAGCCTGCTTGCTCACCACGCGAATACGTCTGGACTTCACGTGTGTTCTCAAGGATAGCAGTAGACGCGGCAGAGTAGCTACGCCTTGAAGGATGGGCCGTTGGCCCAAGCTACTCGCTCGACGTGAACTTTGGTATGTGTACGACGACGGGACAAAATTCGAGTGGAAATGGCGGCTGATGACAGCGCTGTGAGAAGGTGAATGTACCGAGGTGGGTACAGGACATGTACACAAACCACTGGACTGGCACCGTTGGGTGCGACTTCAGGAGCTCTCTCTTTCCTTCTCGACAGCACCGAGAGATCGTACACATTGCCAATGCAAACAGGAGAGTAGTCCCAAGCGACAAAGGTCGCCAAAGCCACCACTGTCATTGGCTCGTAGCGCGTGGGCTCGTGCAGCACCGAGCTTTGCACCGCCGTGGGGCTTGAGTGTAGTGCTTAAAGAACGACGACGGTGCTTGTTGCGCCACCTACTGGGTAGAGGGCGTAGAACTACACGGCCGCAGTTGAGAGCACTAATGCGGTACTACCACGGCCTCACGCACCTCGGCCGACTTGATACCACTCGTCGTCAAGGGCCACTCGTGTCTCTAAAGACAGCTTGACGTGGCTACTTCATGGGCGTGTTCTAGGGTACCGTGCGCCTCCATTGTAGCATCAAATTGTAGGATCTACTTCTAGTACATCATCGTCGACGCATGCTCTCGTGCACCCAGACATTTGCTATGGCGCGAAGCTACATGCATGCACTTGACACTAACGATATGATGCATTCTGCACCAAATGCACTAGATAGTTATGCCCGGCGACGTAGCTTCCTCTGGTAGTATCGTCGAACGCTGCTCGTTGGTCGTGTCGTCGTTCTCGTCGTCACCGGAGAGCCGTTTGATCTTGGGATGCTTGCCGCGCGCCGTACTTGGAAGGCTCTGGTCCTTGAGGTACATCTCGGTCCACTGCCGAATGAGCTTGCCGCGGTACCCGACGGGCTTGGTCGGGAAGAAGAGCCGCGCAATCTCCTCCGACTTGGCCATGCGCTTGACCTCGACGCCCCGAAACGAGTTGTTGACGTCGGTAAGGTACGTCAAGTAGGCCAGAATCGACATGTACCGCAGCAGGTCGTAGTGCGAGAGCTTGTTGGAGCGCGGCCCTACCGTCGACGACTCGAGGATCGTGGTCATGACCTTGAGCTGCTGGATACAGGATCGCATGTGCAGCAAGTCGTGGCACAAAGCGTCGTCGTCTTGCGCTTCGTCTGTGACGACAGGTACCAGTACATCGCTGCTTGCGGCGAACTTGGTGACCAATGACGCCTTCTCCTCCTTGTTCAAGAGGCGCGTGAGCGCTTCGACTGGCTCGCGTGGCAGGTAGCAGGAGCGCTTGGCCAGCGCGTTGGCGTCAGCCGCCTCCGGCTTGGTACGCTTTCGGTTGATCGTGGTCGAGACCACATTCGGTGCCTCCTTGCGCGGCGGAAGGCCCATCGTCCTGCGCTCGAGGGCGGCTGCCTGCATGCGCTTGATGTGTGCCATGCGCTTCGTCGGCCGACCCATTATTGCGCTCTGCCAATACCGGATACCATATCCGGACAACGACCATATTCCGCCAATCAACGAGCGGCTTCCATTTTTGGCTTCGAAATTTCGGAATGATCACAACAACATGGCGATGGGCAAAAGCCGTCGCGTCGCCATCATTGGCGCTGGCGTCTCGGGGCTTGGGCTCGCGATCCAGCTCCAGCGCTCGGGCCGGCATGACGATGTCGTGCTCTTTGAGAAGGCGAGCGACCTCGGCGGGACGTGGCGCGACAACACGTACCCCGGCGCCGAGTGCGACGTCGAGGCCGAGCTGTACACGTTTTCGTTCGAGCCCAACCCGTTGTGGTCGGCGACGTACCCGAGCCAAGCCGAGATCTTGGCGTACCTCGAGCATTGCGCGACCAAGTATGACGTCCGACGCCGTATCCGCTTCAACACGACGATCGACCACATCGTATACGACGCGACAAGTCGCACGTACCTTCTCACGACCACCGCCGGCGACAGTGAGACCTTTGACGTCGCCGTCTCGGCCGTCGGGTTGCTCCACCGACCGTTCGTGCCCGAGATCCCCGGCGCGTCGACGTTTGCTGGCGCGGCGTTTCACTCGGCCGCCTGGGACCACAGCGTCGATTTGCGCGGTAAGCGGGTTGCACTCGTCGGGTCGGCCGCCAGCGCCATCCAGATCGGGCCTGCGCTCGCACCGATCGCGTCGCAGCTGGTCCTCTTCCAGCGCAGTGCCCACTGGGTGATCCCAAAGAGCGTCCGTCGCTTTTCGTCGACCGAGATGTGGCTGGCGCGCCGCTGGTCGTGCTACCACCGCGCGCGGCGCTGGTTCTGGTACCTCCTCCGCGAGCGCATCGTGTACTTTGTGCTCTGGCGTCACTACGTGGGATGGCTCCGGGTGATCTTTGCCTGCGGCTCGCAGCTCTTCTTGCGGTGGCACGTAGGCGACCCAGCGACGCGCGCCCTGCTGACGCCGTCGTACCCGTTTGGCGGCAAGCGCGTCTTGGTCTCGGACGACTACTACCCCATGTTCAAGCGCCACAACGTGTCGATCGAGTCCAAGCCGATCGCGCGCGTCATGGCCGACGGGCTCACGACGACCGACGGCGCTGTCCACAAAGTCGATGCGATCGTCTTTGCCACCGGGTTCACGCCCACGTCGTTTCTAACGCCCATGGGCGTTCGCGGCGTCGGTGGCCAGCGCCTCCACGACGCCTGGGACGGCTACCCGCACGCGTACCTCGGCATGCAAGTGCACGGGTTTCCCAACTTTTTCATGATGTATGGGCCCAACACCAACTCGGCCCACAGCTCGATCGTGCTCATGAGCGAAGCGCAAGCCAACTACATTGTGCAGTGCTTGCGGGCGCTCGATGCGCAAAACGCGGACGTGATGGACGTGACGAGCGAGGTGAACGGAGCGTACCAGCGCGAGATGGCGCGCCGCTGCGAGACCATGATCTGGGCCGACGTCGCCGCGTCACCATACAAGGACGCGACAAGCGGCAGAATCACAACCATGTGGCCTGGCCCGATGCGCGAGTACGTCGCTCGGACGCGCAGCGTCAACGTCGGCGACTACACGTTTGGTTGACGCGCGATCACTTTTTGTTCGAGCAGTTGTATGTCAAGCCATTATTTTAGCAAGGTCATAAACTCTTGGCTTTAGCTATGAACAATAAGCTAATTGTCTATTAGATTTACTCTAGTAGCCTAGTTATACTGGTGCAGAATGGGCACAGTCGCAGGTTGTGGAGCAATGTGGTCGCAGCTTCGTCCACTTTGCACCACAATGAAGAGTGTTGGTCATTCCGAGATCTTGCCATGATGCGCATGCTCGCATGGGTGGTGCTGGGGAGCACGGCTGCAGTGGCGACCGCCTGCGCGACGTACACCGCTTGCCTCGACGACGCCCGCGCGATCGTCGCCAACATGGTTGACCATGATGCACTGATGCGATCGACGGCTAACCACGTGGCTGTAGACGGTCGAGGCCATGGCCGCGCAGATGACGCAGCTCGACATTGGCCAAGTGCTCAACAGCGACTTGACATTGAACGAAGCCCAAGTCGAAGCGTACGCGACGCTCGGCATTGGCTCGTACCTCAACTCGCCCTTTGCGGGTGGCCCAAAGGGTGCCACGTACGGCTGGAACGCCACCGAATGGCGCGCTATCCTCACTCGTATCCAGGCCATTCATAAGAAGATCGATGGCCACCCGATCCTCTTTGGCCTCGACTCGGTGCACGGCGCCAACTACGTCGCCAACGCCGTGCTCTTCCCGCACCAGATCAACGCCGGCGCTAGCTTCAACCGCCGTCTCGTCCACGAGCTTGGGTATTACACGGCGCGGGATACGGTCGCCGCGGGCATTCCGTGGATCTTTGGCCCGATCCTCGACGTGACGTCGCACAAGGCGTGGCCGCGCGTGTACGAGACCTTTGGCGAAGACCCGTATCTGGTCACGCAAATGGCCTCCCAGATCGTGCACGGTATGGATTCTCAAAAACTACATTTTCTAAAACGAGGGGTAGGGCTACAGGACAACCACACGATCGCAGCGTGCTTCAAGCACTTTATCGGGTACGCCGCAACACCATCGGGTCACGACCGCGACCCGATCACGCTCTCCGACTACGAGATTCTCAACTACTACATGCCGCCGTTCAAGGCCGCGATCGACGCGGGCGCCCTCAGTGGCATGATGAACTACGTGTCGCTCAACGGCGTGCCCATGGGCGCGAACCGCAAGATGCTCGTCGATCTGCTGCGAGGTGCTTTGGCATTCGAAGGTATGCTCGTGACGGACTGGGGCGTCATCGACGACCTCGCCGCGTTTCACCACGTCGCCGCCACCGAGGAAGAGGCCGTCCAACTCGCGCTCAACGAAACCTCGATCGACATGAGCATGGACGCGACGCACACACGCTTTATTGACCACGCGGTTGCGCTCGTCCACTCCGCGACGATCCCGAAACAGCGACTCGCGCTGGCTGCCGAGCGCATCATCGCTCTCAAATTGCACTTGAAGTTGTACGAAACGCCAGTGCCGGGGGCTGACAGCGTGCCACGTGTCGGGGATGCCGACAGCATCCAATCAGCGCTCGCCATGGCGCGCGAGTCGATCGTGCTCGTCCAGAACCGCGGCAACGTGCTCCCACTGCATTCGTCGTCGGCACCGAGTCTCTTGCTCACGGGACCGTCTCTCGACAGCATCGGGCACCTCTGCGGCGGCTGGTCGCTCGGATGGCAAGGCACTTCGGGCAATGCAATGTTTCCGCATGGTCGCTCGGTGCTCGCGGCGTTCCAAGCACGGCTTGGCAATGTCACACACGCAACGGACGTCACGACCGCACTGGCGATGACCACTGTCGCCGAGTACACTGTCGTCGTGCTGGGCGAAGGTCCGTACGCGGAAAAGCCCGGCGATATCGACGACCTCTCGCTGCCGCTCGACCAGCTTTTGTACGTGCGCTCGCTTGCAACGACGCCGACCAAGATCATTCTCGTGCTGCTCCAAGGCCGACCGCGGCTGCTCCACGATTTGCCTGCGCTCGTCCACGCCATTGTGCATGCGGGTTTGCCCTGTGAGATGGGCGGCGATGCCATTGTCGACATCCTCTTGGGCGTCATTAGCCCGAGCGGTCGGCTACCGATCACGTACCCGCGATCCCCGAGCGACGCCAACGTCGTTCACTACCACCCGCAAGACCATGGTTGTCGGGTCGGGTCTCTCTTCGGGGAATGTTTGCACCAGTGGCCGTTTGGCGCTGGTTTGAGCTACACGCGATTCCAGTACCACGGAGCGCACGCCGCTCTGGCCAAGGACGCGTTGCAGCTGACCGTGACGGTCGCCAACGTCGGGGCTACCTCGGGTGACGAGGTGGTTCTGATCTTTCTGAAAGAGGCCACGCGCCAGCGTCACGTGCCCGAGGCGAAGCGCCTTGTGTTTTTTGACAAAGTCCGTTTGGCGCCGGGCGACTCGACGACTGTACGGGCGACGCTGTCTCTACAGACGCTTGGGAGCTACTTTGGCCCTGTGGGCGAGACCCCGATCAAGTCGCCCCTCGAGGGCGTGTTTACAGTCCAGTTTACTATCGCACCTTGTGACGTTGACCCGACGCTCTGTGTGACGCTGACGACTGCAGCAAAGAAGAAGAAGTCGCTGGTCTTTGAGGGACCTGACGTGCTACTCGCGTAGGACAAGTGGTCTCAATCAACATTTGTGTTGTGGCATCGAAATCGATATCCTAATCGTTTTATTGTATGACATTGCGACCGTGCGTGGACATTGGTTGCATGGGTACTACAATGAGTGGTGTTTAGGGAATTATGACCTTGTGGTTCTTCTTTTTTGCCACATTTGGTGAATGATGAGGACAATATACTACGTGGTTTACTAACTCGATCTAGCTGTTGGTGACATCGTTGTTGGTGACGTTGTTGTTGATCGACTGTGAACAAACTGGCTCAGGCAGGATCGCAGGTTTTAGGCTCACTGTTTATTATAATACTTGGTTCCAGTATGTGATAAAATACATTGTCCTAGTGCTGTGAGTGGCCAAATCCTTTCGATTTTAAGCCAATGGAATACGAGGCGGTGGTGGCACTGCTGCACGCGAGGCCGCTTGATGCGCCAAATCGCGTCGGAAAATGATTTCGCCCCAAGTTGGCACATCAATAGAGGTCACATTGGAGAGCTTATCTCGCCATGTCTCGTCGCCGGGCGAGGCGTACAACGCGAGTTATTCCTCGAGCTATTAAATATGGTACGTGCCATATATAAACACACATAGCCACATTTTGCGTATCTTGCGGGTCGATGTTTGACAGCGTCGCTGTCAGTCTTATACCTACAAGTGCATCGACCTCGCCCGTTGCGCTGACGGGGACGCCATCGAGTCTCAATACTACGGGAGGTCTATGATGACTACTAGTATCAGGTTGCTCTGTAGTAATAACCCCAACTCAATTGAGAATTGAGAATATTCCGAGAAGATCCTCCCTTTTTACGGCGCTTGTGTGGCGTTGATACTCGTATTTCGCTTTCAAACGACACATATCAAACGTCAAAAGTCGAGATACCATTGATGCCAATCGTGTTCCAAGAGTCGACCCAAAACAATGGCGTCGTCTTACGACGACTCGGCGATCGACCGGACCGTCGCGAGGGCGTCCGAAATCGAGTTGGCAAACTTCGCGCTGTCGCTCTCGTTGCTGTCCTTGAAGCTCGTAATGTTGATCGGGATCGTCTCGTTCTGGATGAGGTACCCGAGACCGTACCCGGACGGCACGACCGCACCAAAGGTAAAGTAGCTCAAGAACGGCATCGTCACGTTGCTCGTCGAGAGCTGGTAGTGCGAGCTCTTGGCGCGGACCGGCGAGCTCAAAAAGTCGTGCGCAATACCCGCCTTGCTCGCCGTGTCGTTGAGCATCGTCAAATGGCGGTCGCAGCCCAGGCCTTGCTGCGCCTCTTTCGCCAAGCTCACGTGGCGGTCCACCGCCTTTTTCAAAAACTCCTTTTGCGACGCCATCGACGCGTCCGAAGTGACGGCCGACACGAACCGCTGCGCCTCGCTCGTCGCCGACCGGATCGTCTCGGTGCGGCCGTGGAAGAACGCGCGCGTCGAGCAGCTCTCGTACGTCGGCGCGACGTGGCCGTGCTGGCGGAAGTACGCCAACTGGTAGGCCATTTGCACGGCGCCGTCCGGGCTCATGCCCCAGTTCTTGATCGTGTTCTTGCCAAAGCCGTCAAACGACAGCAAGTGCGAGTCCGTGTTGCCAATGTCCTTGGCCGACACTTGCTCGGCCGTCGCGATCGCTTGATGGATTGTCGGCGAGAGCGACCACGCCAAAGCCTCAGCGGCCGGCGCCGCAAACGTCGTTGTCGCCGTCAGCGGCGAGAACCCCGAGTCCGACTGCCGCATGTCGTGCCACGTCTCGTGGAGCCAGCGGTTCCACGCCGTGCCGTCCGAGAACGTATGCTCAAAGTTGACAGCGAGATGACCGTCGCCGTACATGAGCACTTGGTGCTTGTCGAACCAGCGGTTGGACCCGTTGCCGTGGAGCGTCATGGCCGTGAGCTCCGAGCCCGAGTAGCTCTTTTCGTCGAGGACGAGCACGAGCAGCGCCGAGTCGATGGCCTCGATCGACGCCTTGTTGGTCGCATCGTCCGCAATAAGCGTAGCACGCACCGACGCCCACGTATCACGATCTTCGGCGGTCAAGGCGGCAATGTTGGGTGCATCCGAGACCTTGGTCTGCATGATGCGGGCGAGCTGCGCCTCGAGCGACGCCGGCGAGACGACGTCCTTCCCGCGCGCGTCGAGCACCTGCACCTTGTAGAACGCATTGTCCTTGAGAACGACAATGTGCGTCGACGTCGGGTGGAACGCCAGCGCATCGCAGCCCGTTTGCGGGATCTTGGCCGTGCCGAGCTGCTTGGCGAGCGACGACATGCACTGCTTCGGGTCTTGCTCGAGCTCGCCCGCCTTGACTTTTTGAAACCACTTGAGAAGCGACGTGACAAACTTGGACGTGCGCACGAGCGGGTCGGCCAAGACCGAGCCTGGCGCTTCGTCGACGAGGCCATAGCTACAACGTGTGCATGAGACGATTGCTGTTTGGATGCAATGAAGATGCGTACCCAGGGTTGACGTTGATCGGGTTCGGGTATCGGCCACCGAGGTACATCTTGTCCCACCACGCCTCAATGTACGAGAAGGGATAGGCGCGGCCCATGACGTTGACAAACTCTTGCTTGAACAGCTCATCCTGGAGCTGGCGACCGACCGACCGGTTGGCGCCGAGGCCAAAGTCCTCAACGAGCTTCTTGTGCTCCTTGTACTCGGCCGCCGAGACGAGCGGCTGGACCGAGCGCAGGTAGCGCTCCAGCGTCTCGTTGAGCTGGGGCACGGGCAGGCGCGGGAGGTCGTAGTCGTTGTTGTCGACCATGCGCAAGAACCAGCTCGGGTGCTTGGTCGTCGTCGAGAGGGACCGCGCCAGGCGGCGCGACGCCGGTACCATGAGCTTCATCTTGGGAATCTCGAAATGGATTGCGTCAACCACGCCACAGATCCCGATCGTCCGGATACGCCGGATACGCCAACTCAACGTGGCATGTGCCACTTCAAAGACGCGTCGACGTTCCTTTGGCTTCCTCGACATCCTCGGGACGAGAGAGCTCTGTCGAGGAGCTCGAGCGATGTATAGAAGCATCGCTGGACAAGCCAAACATGCATACATCGATATATGTGTGAGCGCGTGTACGTGTGACGCCGCCAAGGGCCGTGGTAGGCAAGATCTTCTGCACCTGGTCCAAGGCCACTGGGCCAGTGACGCTCTTGACAGAAGGAATATCCTGCCCCATCCTTCCAAGGATACTACTACATTATACTTGCCATTGGTTCAAGCCATCGCCGCAGGTCACTTCATCCGGGGCAGCCTTCGTCCCGGAGCTTGCGCCACAATACATGTGCAAATTCGTGTTGATGTATCGCGGAGTGCACTCGTGCGCTTCTCGTTGCGCCATGTTCTTGCACGCGCAGTCGACGACGTGACGCGCCGATCTCACAAACAAAATGGTGTCACGGTCCCACTCTTGCGTCATTTCGCCCTCGTGGCAGCCTCTGCGGCCGTTGTACAATGTGGCATGTGCCACGTTTAAAATACAAGCACCAGGCGTTTTCCAAAACGGTCAGCGGGGCATGGCCGACGAGCCGCGGGGCGATGGCGACGACGCTGCGAACGATAAGATCTCAGTCCGACCCGAGTACGTCTCTGCCGTCTACGGTCGTAGGCGCAGCGGCTAAGCGTGTACAACTTGTCCTTAGCTTTGTGCTCGGCGTGCGCGGGCCGATCCAGAGCAACGTCGAGTTTTGCTCGGACGCGACCTTGCTCTTTCCGACCGCACACCACCTCGGGCTCTACAACGTCGACCGCAAGACGATGGAGTTCTTCCACCCGACGCGGGGCATTCGGTCGGTCCAGAGCATGTGTCTCTCGACCAACAAGGAGCTCCTCGTCGTCTGCGAGCAGTCGGGCCAGCGCTTCGCTCGCAACAACATTAGCGACCAGCTCGGCGTGACGCCCAACCAAATCTCCATCTACAAGGTGCTCACCCGCGCGCGGCTCAAGACGCTGCCGTCGCAGTCGCACGCGCCGATTCTCTCCGTGGCCTTCTCGGCCGACAACAAGTGCCTCGTGACGCTCGAAGACGCGCCAACGTACCGCATCGCATATTGGAAGTGGGCAACCTCCAAGCTCGTGGCCCATGCGCCGTGCCCGTCGCGGGGCACACGCATCCGGATGTCGCCGTTCAACCCCAACTTCGTGACTGTCTCGGGGCCCATGGTGCTGCGCTCGTGGACACTTACGACCGCGACGGACTTGCGCATGAGCAGCCTCGTGCCGCAGATCCGCGAACAGGAGCACTTTGTCGACCACGTGTGGGTCCGGCAGTACCTAGTGACGATTTCGGAAGTCGGGACGCTCCTTATCTTTCAAGGCGCTGACGACGGCGTCGAGCTCGTGCACTCGACCAAGCTCAGCGCGCTCCAAGCTACGTTTCAAGTCGGCAAAGTCCAAACCATTAGCGCCAGCGCCAAAGGCTTCGTCCTCGGCGGCACGTCGGGTCTCTTCAGTGTGTTTGAGTTCTCGGTTGCCTCTCGCTGTATCACCAACGTTTCAATGTATCAACTTGATATTCTAGGACGACCCGAAAGACCCATTCATTCTCATTCGGTCCATGTCGGCCGGCGACTTTGCCATCGAGAGCGTTGCGATCTCGCCCAACTGCGAGATTGCAGTTGCCTACACGGACACGCAGCGGCTTGTGACCTTTGCGATGGGGTCGATCGACGTCGTTCAAGACAGTGCGACCGAGTTTCGCGACCTCATTCCCAACGTACACTCTCTACATACCAAGTACCAAAGTGATGCGCAAGCCAGGGCACGCACGCCGGCGCGATTCTGGCCGTCGACGTCTGCCTTCAAAAACCGCTGCTGGTCTCCTGCGGTGTCGACAAGTCGTTGCGGTCGTGGAACTACCACCTTGGGACGTACGAGGTCGTGGCGACGCTCACCGAAGAGCCGACGACGCTGAGCTTGCACCCTGCTGGCTTTCAGGTCGTCGTCGCTTTCAAGGAGCGCGTCCGCATCTACAATTTGATCCAAGAAGGCCTTCGGGTGCTGCGGGACTTTAGCATGAAAGCGTGCAGCGTGCTGCGCTTCGCCAACGGCGGCCATGTGTTTGCGTGCGGCGCTGGCTTGACCGTGTACATTTACTATACCTATACGGTACGTGTTGTCGTAGTGTGCAAAGTGGACACATTGTCGGTAGTGCGACCTCGCGTACACGCTCACGGGCCACATCAACACGATTCAGTGCTTGGCGTGGAGCGCCGACGACCTTTTGCTCTACTCGGCCGGCAACGACGGCACAACGTACTGCTGGAATGCGACCAACGGTACTAGGCCGTTCGACGGGGCGCGTATAGCATAGCAACTAGGGAATCGCTGCGATGACATGCAGCTCGTGGTCAAGCACTGCAAGATCACGGCCACCGTCGTCGACCACCTCAACCCAAAGCTCGTCGCTATCGCGGGCTCGGACGGCCATCTGCGCGAAGTCGTTGCCGGCGACGAGACCAAGAGCCTGGATCTGGGTGTACCGCTCACGGCCCTCGCCCTCACGAAGTCCAACCGGTTGGCTTTGGCGGTTGCATTTGAACATATACCATCGCATATGTAGATGGCTCTTTGTTGGCACACGCACGGGCTGTATCTACGTGTTTCCATGGCCCCTCGGCGCCCAGGCCGTACCCAACCAAGATCTGAGTGTGCACAGCGAGCCAATCACGACGCTCCGGCTCACGGACGACGACCGCGTCCTCGCCAGCGCGTCCCAGGACGGGTGTCTCGTGCTCTTCAAGGTCGATGAAAACATGGCCGGGCTTCCCGACGACGTGATCCACCGGCCAAAAGCGCTTGCCACCGACGCGGTCCTCGTCTCGCGCGAAGAAATCGAAGACAAGAACGAGCAGCTCACCGACATTTTGCAGAAATACGAGCAAGTCAAGAGCGACATGGACTTTTCGCTCCATAGCAAAGAGAACGAGTGGCTTGACCGCATGCGCCTCCTCAAGGACGAGTGCGAGCACTCGCTCGTTCAAGAGCGGATTCGGTACATTTTTTCAATCCCGACGTAGGACTCAGCGAATCCACTAGGTACGAGGAGCTCGAGATGCGGTACCAAAGCGCACTGCGCAAGCACAGTGAAGAATTTGCCCAGAAAGAGTCGAATCATGCCAAGTTTTCGCAGGTCCATAATTTCCTATTTTGGAGAAAAACGCAACACTACTTTCTCCATCATTAGGAACTCGAAAATCGCTACGAGCACAAATTGGCGATGGAAATTGCGCGCTACGACCGACTCTCGGAAGAGATGGAGCTCACGCGACAGCAATGCGCAGCGCTCATCGAGTCGCAGGAGAAACAGCAACGCGCGGTCTTGGACGGGGAGCGCCGCGCCGCCAACGCCCGTGCCAAAGAACAGGTCCATCGTCGTCTCCGTGGCTCGCTCAAGCAAACGCATTGGACGTAGGTCGAGCTCATCAAGCGCGTCAAGGACGACCTCTCGTACAACCACGTGAAATTCGAGGAAATTCTCAGTCAGCAAGAAGAAGACTACGAGTTTCAGCTCCAAAAGCTCAAGGCCGAGTACGAAGAGCAATTGGCGGGCGAGCGCCAAAACACAGCCATCAAAGAGACGCAAATCACGGGCAAAAACAGCAAGCTCGATTCGCTCAAAAAGAAAATCCAAGAACTCAAAGCCAACGCGTCGGCACGGGGTACATTTTGTTCAAATTTGCAAAATGGACCGAATGTCAACTGTGGGACATTAGACATCTTGCTGTCGACCGAACGCGCCAAAACCGCCAAGCTCGAAGCCGCGCTCACCAACTATGAAAAGTACTTTGACGCGCTGCAAAAGAACATTGATGAGAAAGAGAAGAACGTCCAGAGTCTAAAAGCCACCAACCATGTCCTCGAGAGCTTCCGGTTTGTGCTCGACAACCGCGTCGAAGAGCTCCAGAACGAGAAAGCGCCGATGCAAAAGCTCATTGCAGGCCTTGAAATGCACATTCACGACGTCCAAGACGAAATGGTTGACGAATTTCATCACAAGGACGTCATGGACGAGACGCTCGCAGCGCGCGACATCAAGATCAAAGCGCTGACCAACGAAGTCAACGCGCTGCGGCTTCAAACGCGCAAGAAGGAGTCGACGATCGGCGCCATGACGCGCGAGTTTGCGCGCATCGTGCTCATCTCCAACCCAAAGGAGCTCGAGCGCGCCGTCAAGGACGCCTACATCGTCTACGTCAAGGGCGAAGCGCCCAAGTCCAAAAAGTACAATGCGACCTCGTCCATCTTGAGTTCGCCGAGCAAGCCGGCACTCGCCGACGCACCCTTGCTCGCCGACGACAACAAGGAGGTCGTCCAAGAGACGTGCAAGCAGCTCACGTACATGCACCGATCGGTCGCGACGCTCAAAAATGCGCTCCAGCATGCAAAGAACGAAGCCGAGCACCACCACCGCGATGCGATCACCGAAGGCAACATTCTCCTCCAAGACATGAACCAGCTGCGCAAAAAGAACAAGACCCTCGAACTCAAGGTCAAAGAGCTCGAAAGCGCCCTGTATTTGGCCGAGACGGCCAAGAAGAAGCGCGCCGTGCAGTCGTCGCCTGCGGCCAAACTCTCCCCGCTCTTGCGCAAGGCGTCGTCGTCAACAGCGTTGGCGTCGCCCGGTCGGCTCGTCGTCGGCAGTGTTTTGCCGTTCACGGCGATCGAACGCGAGCGCGACCTGCACAAGGTGGCGTCCATGCCGGCCGTGCACGAGTACCAAACCAAGATCGACAAGCAGACCCGCGAGATCCAGCGCCTCAAGACCCAAGTCCAGCTCCTTCTGGAACAGGAAGCGAGCAAGCGTACACTGGATACTTGGATCGATGGTAGATTGATCGAACGATGTAGAGGACGCGGATCCGGCACGGGGGGTGGGTAGCCTCTTGCTGCCGACGTACCCCCAGCCCCCGTCGCTCGCGGCGAGCCCGACTGCCGCGCAGACAATTCACAGTATCTCGCGCAAAACCGACTCGACGTTCAGCTACTTGGCCATGCAGCCATTGCCCAACAACGATGAAGACGACGATCCTTATGGCGACCATGCAGAGGCCCCCAGTCCATTTAAAACCCTCTCAATGTAGTCCTTGTGCGTCTGGTTCGATGGGACGCACTAACGGGCTCGTACAACAATGCTTCGCAAAGGGCAGTGACATCTTGTCGACGAGCTCGTATCACTTTGTCCAGCGACCGCTGGTGCGTCTCCATGCCACTCCTTGCGCTCGCCTTGCGTACACATCGGTGACTCCGTGCAGAGACGGGCAGAGCCACAACATCATATTACATCGGCTTACAAGGACGTATGGTAGCGCAAGACGGACGCGACGTGGGACTGGGCCGACACTTGCACGGTTGTTGTCGGCGTATACGTGCCATGAACGCCGGCTGTGAAGCGGACGCAGTGTCCTTTGGCGCAGTCGGCCGCCTCGGAGACCAGCAGCGTGTAGGCGCCGGGCGACACGTGCTTTTCGAGGCTCTGGCCCATCTCGTTGGTGTAGATGCCCCAGTCTTTTGCCCGGAGCTCTGCGCGCACGATCTTGGCGCTGCCGGCCGCGATACTCAGCTTCTCAAAGAACACGAGCCGCTTGGCCTCGGGCACATTGCCGCGGCGGGCTTCCTGGCGCAGAAACAGAAGGACAACATGGTCGCCGTCGCGGTCGCCAACGTTTTGGACGGCCAGTGTGACGGTCACCGCGTGGTTCTCGCCGAGCACCACGGATACGTCGCTGTAGGCAAAGCGCGTGTAGCTGAGCCCCGTCCCAAACGCCCACTCGGGCGAACAGTCGCCAAAGACGCCGTTGGTGTTGCAGCCCGCGTTGCGCCGGTGGTAGTACGAGACCGCTGCGTCCAAAGGCGTCTTGGGGTATGTGTACGGAAGGCGTCCACTGGGGTTCGCCGCCCCAAGCAGCACGCTTGCGATCGCTGCGCCGCCCATTTCACCCGGTAGCATTGCATGTACGACGGCCGACGCGAGGTCGGACAGCCCGCGCAGGAGCCGCGGCCGGCCTTCCACAAGCACTAGAATGAGCTTGGTTTTGGTCGCAGCGAGCGCGCGCACATATGCAAGTTGGCCATCGGGAAGGGCGAGATCCCGAATATCGCCGGGCTTTTCCGCGTACGGGCCTTCGCCGAGCACGACGACAGTATACGTCGCTTGGCTTGCGAGAAGCGTTGCTTTCGCCAGGTCCTCGGGTGTGTATGTGCCAGCGTCGTCGACACCAGCCATGGATGTCAGCGTGCAGTTCGGACAAGTCGTCTGTACGGCCGACAGCACCGACTGGCCGTGCGGAAACATCGTGTTGCCACCGTTGCCTTGCCATGCAAGCGACCAGCCGCCGCAGAGATGCCCGATGCTGTCGACGGCCGGACCGGTGAGGAAAATCGTCGCGTTCGGCGCCAATGGCAGCGTCGCATTGGTGTTTTTGAGGAGCACGAGGGACTCGGTGGCCATCGCAAGCGCTGCGGCTTGGCTGCTGGCGTCGCCGACCAGTGGGACGTTGGCCGCGCCGGGCAATGGCTCGTCGTACAGATGGAGCTGCAGCTTGAGCGTGACGATGCGCGTCGCGGCCTCGCGGAGGCGAGCGAGTGGTACGAGCCCGCGCTCGTACAGCGCTGTCGTGTACTTGATAAAGTCAATGTTGGTGGCCACCATGCTCATGTCGATCGAGGTTTCGGTGAGCGCGAGTTCGACGGCGTCTTGAAGCGACGAAGCGACGCCGTGAAAGAGGAAGAGGTCGTCGATGACGCCCCAGTCCGTCACGAGCATACCTTCGAATGCCAAAGCACCTCGCAGTAGATCGACGAGCATCTTGCGGTTCGCGCCCATGGGCACGCCGTTGAGCGACACGTAGTTCATCATGCCACTGAGGGCGCCCGCGTCGATCGCGGCCTTGAACGGCGGCATGTAGTAATTGAGAATCTCATAGTCGGAGAGCGTGATCGGGTCGCGGTCGTGACCCGATGGTGTTGCGGCGTACCCGATAAAGTGCTTGAAGCACGCTGCGATCGTGTGGTTGTCCTGTAGCCCTACCCCTCGTTTTAGAAAATGTAGTTTTTGAGAATCCATACCGTGCACGATCTGGGAGGCCATTTGCGTGACCAGATACGGGTCTTCGCCAAAGGTCTCGTACACGCGCGGCCACGCCTTGTGCGACGTCACGTCGAGGATCGGGCCAAAGATCCACGGAATGCCCGCGGCGACCGTATCCCGCGCCGTGTAATACCCAAGCTCGTGGACGAGACGGCGGTTGAAGCTCGCGCCAGCGTTGATCTGGTGCGGGAAGAGCACGGCGTTGGCGACGTAGTTGGCGCCGTGCACCGAGTCGAGGCCAAAGAGGATCGGGTGGCCATCGATCTTCTTATGAATGGCCTGGATACGACTGAGGATAGCGCGCCATTCGGTGGCGTTCCAGCCGTACGTGGCACCCTTTGGGCCACCCGCAAAGGGCGAGTTGAGGTACGAGCCAATGCCGAGCGTCGCGTACGCTTCGACTTGGGCTTCGTTCAATGTCAAGTCGCTGTTGAGCACTTGGTTGATGCTGAGCTGCGTCATTTGCCCAATGAGCTGCGCGACGCTCTACGACATCGTTAGCTTTCGAGGTTGCACATACGAGGCGTACCATGTTGGCAACAATTCGAGCGGCGCGGTCGGGCGCGTCGTCGCTGAAGGCGGCCAACGGCAGTAGGAGCCACGGTAGAAGACGCATGATTCGAAAATGCAATCGAAAACCTTCGACGACAATCAGCATTCCAACCCACAAACGTGGGACAGTCAATTTTTGGGTCGAGCAGTGTGGACAGAGTCCCACCGCTGCTCCAACGTGTACGTTTTCTGCAGCAAACCAGCTAATACGTGCGGCACAAGCCCAGGGACACGAGCGCTAAAAAATTCACTGTTGATCGCGAGACGGTGCCTTGGAGAAGCGCAACCCGGCGCCAGAGCTGCCGACTAGAACAGTGTAGAACGAAGTAGCTCAAGACCATAAATTTGGATGACCTTGAGGTGCTACTCATCGTCGTTCGTTGCACGGGCAGATGGGTGGCAACCTGCCTTCAATGCTTTTTTGTCCCATTTACGTTTTTATATTAGACCGCCAGACTGAGGATCGAGTTCCTAATAAGTAGCCTGCTCTACAGAGTACATTTTGCTCGTTGTCGCTGACGTCGCATGCGGCACGCAGGAAGGAGAATGCTCGATGCCCTCTTCTTGATACGAACTTGAAACAAAGTCAACATTACACAGTGCGAATGGAGGAAGCGAATTTGGGACGCGTACCAAGTGGCACGGGGTTCGATCCCTGTGATCGCTTTCGAAGGACACCAAACGATATTCTAGTGTCGTTGTTGCTAGGTTTTATACGTTGCCGCAAAGTGCGCAAGGAGGGTGTCGCCCTTGAACTGGACGTCCGGGAGCGCTTGAAAGGAAGCGATAAAGGCTGCAATGTCCGCAATGACCTTGGCTTTGCCGGCGGCCGTGCGCGGCGCGACGGCCTTGAAACACTCGGGCATCTTGTGCGTAAACATATCAAAGACGCGCGAGAAGACCACTTGCAGCTGGAGCGTTGGCAGCACGGGGCTGAGCACTTGGTAGAGTTTCACCGTGTTGGCGGCAATGCTCCGCAGCGGTGCGCTCGGCACTGCGATCGTGTCGTAGTCGACGTCGGTCGCGACCGCTTCCAGCGCCTTCTTCATGATCTGGTCTTCGACAATACTGAGAAATTTGCCGAAAATCTTGTGGTTGTGCTCGACATAGTCGTGCGTGACCTTGTCGAGTTCATCGAGCAGCAATTTTTGGCGCTGCGTCAAATGGAGGGCGAGCTGGCACTTGATGTGCGGAATGAACGCGACAATGACCTCGAGCGACTGCGACGCCAGCCCTAACCCGCCACGTTACATGTCACAGCTCATCGGAGAGTCCACGGTGGCTACCGAGGTGCTTGGCCGAAATACTCTTGAGGTGAGCGACTTGCATGGCGCCGGCGCCCAGCACGAGCTGCGTCGTCCGCGAGTTGAAGAGCTATCGCGCCGCGTCAGTACATAAGACAACATACAAGATTCTACCCGAAGCATCTCGATCGAGCGCTGCACAATGTCGGTCGCCACGACGGGAAAGTTGGCCGCCAAGCTCACATAGTTCATGAGGATTTCGAGCGTCAAAAGCACCGACCAGACGACGCGGAACGACAGCGTCGACGAGAGCGTGAGCTGCTTGAGCGGCGGCGCGGTCTCGGCCGCAACCACGTGGTCGTGCGACAAGACGAGCGAGACGCCTTTGCCTTGGGCAAAATGGAGCAAACTGGCGTGGCGCGACGCCGAGATCTCGGCGTTCTTCCACAGTTCGTGGTTGAGCGTCGACACGAGTTTGTTGATCTGGCTCTGGTGGTACTTTTCCAAAAACAATTTCACTTGGTTGAAGAGCGCGCCGCGCAGCGTGTAGTCGGTTTTGCCCGTCGATTTTTCAAGGTTGACGACAAAGCTCATGGTTGCATCGTAGAGCGACCGCAATTGCGGCATCGTATACGTCGCCTACACCCCATTTTTATAACAAGACGAAAGACATTGCGTCATGGACCTGGACTTCCTTCCGGACCGCAAAGAGGTTGCTCACACTGCGCTGTGAGAATTCGCACGTTTTTCGAATCGCATCTTCGACTTCGCGCACGATTTTTGCCGCCTTTTTGGTCTCTTGCCACTCGGCGAGCTTGTCGGCGGCTTCGGGCGCCGCGTCCGGTGACCACTCGTCGTTCACTGGCGTCGTCGTCTGACTGCTGTCTGTGTCGGCCTCGTCGCGGGGCGTGCTGACGTCGACGCAAAACGTTGTCGCGAGCATGGTCTGCACCGACATAGCGCGCTGCAGCACGATCAAGAGGTGCTCAAAGATCATTTCGACGCACAAGAGAAACTCCTCGGACGTCAACGCGCGCAGCTGGACCGTCACGTTGGCATCGTCCCCGGGCGTGGTCGTCGACGACGATTCGATCGTTTCACTCACGACGGTCTTGACGACGATCTTGATCTCGTCCGTGAGCTGGCTGCGATACTTGTTCATGGTCTCCGGAATGGCTTCGAGGCGGAAGAGCGCGTCCATGAGCCCTTTCATTTCATCGCGCGTCTGCTCTTGCTTGAGTGCGAGACTCTGTGCCAAGACGGGATTGCTCGCTGCGCTCGCCGCGTCGTACGACGGATCAAAGACCCAATCGCTTCCGGTGACCATTGCCAAGAAGCGCGCACTCATTTGGCTTCGAATGAACGACCGGTACGTCTGTAGCTTCTCGCCGAGCGACCGCACGCTGTGAATGCCCGCGAGCTGGCTCGTCGTACGCAGCGCCGTGTCGATCGCATCCAGCGCACCAGTGTAGTCGTGGCCGTGCACGAGCGCCTCGACGCTGCTCTCTGTGTGCTTCATCTCTTCAATCTGCAGTACAATCTCTTGGAGCTCGGCGAGCCGCTTCTGGCGCCGATGCAGCTGCAGAATCGCCAGCGACTTGTCGGCCATCGAATTGCGTAGCCGCTCCATCGTGGCCCTACAGCAAAGACACGTCATTCACGTCGTGATGACGAGAGCACGGAGCGAGACCGCAGGTGTTTGACTTGGTCGCAGGCTTGGGTCACGCGCTTCTTCATTTCGTTTTGCGAATTTGAGGCCTCGAAAAAGCGATCCGAGCGCGACGACACTTGACGGAGCAAGCTCACTTCGACCCGGTCCAGATACCCCGAGAGCTATCCAATCGATCCTCGTGGATGGATACGTTGGTATTCTTGGATACCTTGTCTTGGGTGTCTTGGATCGATGCGCCTTGCAGCACTTGGTGGAACGTCTGCGGGTCCGTAAAGTCGTATTCGGGCTTGAAGTACATGCTCGGAACTTCCTGAAAGCACTTTTGCACGTCCTCTAAGTATCAATGTGTCAACTCTCAACGTATCCAGTGACAACCCTACCGTCGGCGGCCGCGACCGACGGCACGTTGGCCGACGCCAGTTGCTCGCGCACCGGTCGCTCGTGGTTTTTGGTGTACATGGCGCTTGCCTCGCCGAGACTCTTCATGAACGGGTCAAAGTCCCGGCGACTAATGACCGGCGCGTTCAGCATCGACGTGATCGTGAGCTCCGTCTCGCCGGGCAGCGTGAACGCATCGAGAAACGCGTCGCCCCAGTTGCCGCCCCGCGGATTGCTCAGCACCGAGTGCAGATTGTGCCCACACACGGTGAGGTACTCGCGTGCTTCCTCGGACGCCACGTGCTCGTCGTCGTCCATCGACGGGTCGTAGAAGCCGCTAATGTCGGCCTTGCGCTGCGCAAAGAGCGTCGGAAAGTCCGTCGGCATCATCATGCTCAGGCCCGTCTCGGCCGCCGACGTGAGCGAGCCCGCGGCAGAGCCTGCCGCGGACGTCAGCGTGCCAAGGCCCTTGCCGACCGGCGCCATGGCCGACCCGGCCGCCGACGTGAGCGTCCCGAGGCCTTTTCCGACGGGCGTCATGACGGACGAGGGCATCGATGTCAGTGCAGACGTGACCTTGGAGACTGACGACGGCGTCGACGGGAGCATCGAGGTTGCAAACGACGTGGCACTCGACATCATCGACATCATCGAGGGCGACTTGACCGCGTTCGGGCGGCTAAAGCTGCCTTGGCTCGGCAGCTTGGACGCGCTGCCATTTGACGCGCTGCTGTTGGAGCCCATCGGGCGATCGGCGTTGGTCGTCGTTTGTGGCCGCGGCGGTAGCCTCTCGGCCGACGATGTCGCTGAGCTTCCGCGCGGGGACATCATGGACATGGCGCCGCTCATCGCATTCGCAAACGGGTTGAGCGATGGCCGTGCGGCGTCGCTCTCGAGCGGCGGGGGCAGTGACGTTGGTGGCTCCTTGCGACTGCCGTCGCTCGTGGTCGCGAACGGGTTGCCGGCCGCCTTCTCCGGCTGCGGCTCGGAGGGCGTCGGCGACGTGGGCGGCGACAGCGGCTTGCTCTTGGCGCCTGGCAGGAAGCCCGAGAAGAAGCCCGCGGACGAGCTCTTCTTCCTCATCATGGCCGTGGATGTTTCACCAGAAACGACCGACGTCCGGATAACACGGCGCGCCGACGTTTTTCACGCGCCACGTGGCGTTCCCCACACGTGCGAAATGGTGAATTACACATGCGTGATACACACGTGGGAAACCCACCGATTCCCACGTGAGAAACGCACCCTGGGACTGTCGCAGGTACCCGACCCCTAAGAGCACGCGTCCACCGGCCGATAACGCAGGTCGCCTGTCGATGGATAATATTCGTACGCGTACTATAGAACCAATCTCGACTACTAGTCTAATCGAGTACTATAAACTGCCAATTTGGCTTGGAGACAGCTTTGATTCCCAAGTGCTTCAAGGTTTCGAGATGCCAAAAAAGAGCGTCTGATACGACGAGCAGCTGAGCGCAAGAGAGGTGGACACGTCGTTCTCTTGTCCACTGCTACGCCCGGTCAAGTGGGTCGGTGGCACCAAGGAAACGCGCATGTCAATGGATCTGGTGCGCCAACGATATCGGCTCGTCCGCCATCAGCAAGACGCCAGTGCCGTGCACCGTCAAGGTACTTCTTCGCAATCGCACAACCACCCAAGAGCCGAGAAAGAGAGGGCAGGCTGCTACATACTGAGTACGGCTGGGCGCCGAAGCGACTCCGAACGGTTCGAATTTGTGTTGCGCAAGCAAATTTCTTGTATTTAGCGATCATTGCGTGCGTGTCGCTACTACCGACCATGCACCGACGTGATTCTCAAAGCGCTGAAGTAGGCTCCACCTGTCTTCCTTTCTCGAGTGAGCAATGAACTTGTACGGAGCCCTGTGGTTTGGCTACTTCAAGCTCGAAAAAAGACCCATCGTACCGGGATATTTGCCCTTTGACCCTTACTCACATTCACAGTACAGTGTACGCGAGTGCCGACAGCTGGTGCGTCCTGGCCCTTGCTTTTACTACCTTCCTACAGTGTCGAGTTAGTACGACGGCCAAGGCGCTTTAGTCGACGAAGTCTCGTACTGTCGTGTGTCAGCATCAGAAAGGCGCCACCGACTTGAGCAGCAGCCGATCCTCTGCGCTGTGATTGGATCCAGTGCGACGTCGCGTGAGCCGATTGGCTGTCTATCCGGATTTCGCAGCCAAATCCGGATACGCTGCATTTCGCATGGCCGAAAGCACCAGTTTGCTTCCAGTCGTGACGAGCAGCAGCGATAGGCATGTCCCTGACCACGCCCCACATCGTGTCGCTTGGCATGTTCTCGTACTGGCCGACGGCCCTCCAGAAGACCGCCAACGCCGACACGGAGCGCGTGTCCGTGCCCGACACGCTCTACCAGCGCCTCGTGCAGAAGGACCGGCGCGAAGAGCGCGCGTTTGGCTTCATCCGCGAGAGCTACCGCGCGTGGCGGCTCACGGGCATGGAGGCGCGCAAGGTCATCGTGACGACGCCCGAGCCCATGAAGGCCGAGGCGCCCACCAACGACGACCTGGTCGATGCGCTCCAGCTCTTCCACGACGAGATGCAGGATGATGACGAGAACGACGACCATCGCATCATGCAGGACAACGCTGCGCTGTGCACGCCGACGACGTACGAGGCCATGGCGCCGTTGACGATGGCGCCGCCGCATGCCATGTGCTTGGAGTCGCCGCCGACAACGGACCTCGGCAGCGTCGCCGAGCCGCCGGCGCCGACCAAGAAGCGCAAGTTCCGCAAGTGGTATGCGCTTCGAGCCTGCTCGCCCTCTCTTTTAGGTACCAATGTAGTGGCTCGTCGGATGCGACCAAAGTCTTGCGCGACTGGCTCTTCGACCCGCACCACCAAGAACACCCGTACCCGTCCGAGAAGGTCGGACCCGATGGCGATATCCTTGCTCATGCCGCGCATTCGTTAGGAGAAGAAGCTGCTCTCGGACGAGTCGGGCTTGACGATCAAGCAGATTGGCATTTGGTTCCGGAACGCGCGGCAACGCTTGTGCCAGCCGACGCCGTCCAAGATGACCATCCACCCGGAGCAAGCCGCTTCGTTCATGCAGCTCGTGAGGTACTCGCGGCGTCCTTGCATGTACAGCATCCGCCTCAACTCTCCTGTAGCCTGCGTCATGACGAGGCAACGCCACTTCGCCGCGGCGCATGGTCGGCCGAAGAGAACCTCTACGCGCAGCGGCTCATCGAGCTCTTCACGCAAGGCCACATGCCGATCCTCGAAGGCACGCCGCTCCGGTCCTTCCTCGCCATGGCGCTGCACTGCCACACGATGCGCATCTCGAAAAAGTTTGTGCGCGACTCGTCCGTCGGCAAGGTACGGCATCTAGTCGGTCTACAAGTCGATGACAATATTGTCATAGATTACGTTCCGGCGCGACCGCATCTTCAACGCCCACGGTGGCGTCTTTGAGGGCATTCTCCAAGACCTTTTGCATCTCAAGGCCCGCGTGCTCGAGACGCGCCCGGCGAACGTCGCCAGCCAGAAGCACAGCGGCGACGACGCGGCCTTCCAGGTCCAGGCCTGGCTCCGCAATGACCCGCCAGCCTTCAAGGCCGAGCCGCCGCCGCCGCTCGATGACGCCATGGAGAACGACATGCTGGACGCGTTTGAGTTTGACCTTCTGGGGGCGACCTTTGGACCGTACGAGATCGACCCGACCGTCGCTGCGATGCTCTCGCCATGAGCCAGACCAAGAGGACGGTGAAGTTGAGGACATGGAAGAGACGACAAGGGACGGCGGTGGGGCGTGGGATCGCCAAGACGACGAAAGTGGCAGGCAGTGCGTGGGAAGATGCATGAACGAGGAGTTGTGGTGGCGTTGACGAAGAGACAAATGTATGCATTTTTGCTTTTGGTATGTAGTTGCACCTGCAATGGCGAGGCGAGGAAGGAGATCGGCCATACTTGCAGTGATGCGCAGCGCAGGTCGCATGGTGCTACGAGTACTGGGGCCATGGCCGGTCGTTGATGGATCGTACTCAGAGAGCTCGTGATGGGTACAAGTATGCATCGCCGGCCTACGTGCCATGCGCCGCTGGCCTGTCCAGCCGTGCGTCGCTCGTGAGACTTGGGGTGCTGGTGGTACGAATGTGAGTCAATGTTGATGCGAAGTTATGCCATGAATCCTAAAACTACAGTCTACGTGTTGCGGTCGATTGACCACAGCCGCAGGGGGGTGGGGCTGGTTTTAAATCAGACGGCTGGTCGGCCATCGGTCGCCGAAGACCGTCTTACAGCTTGTCGACCTTGTCAAACGCGCCACCGCCGGGGTTGCGCTTCGCGAGCTCGGCGCGGTCGGCGGCCTTGTAGTCAAACGAGCAGTTGTGCTGGTCGGCGAACCGGTGGTTGGAGCAGTAGACGTAGCCGCAGCGGCACTCGATGCCCGTGAGGCCCACCTTCTTCTTGCAGTCCCAGCAGCGGCCCTTGTTCTTTTGCACAACGGGTTCGTCCTTCTTCTCTTCGTCGGCGGCGGCCGGCGCGGGCATCGGCGCGGCCACGACTTGCGGGGCCGCGACGGGCGCGGGCGACGCCGATGGCGGCGACGTGTAGTTGGCCGTCTCGACCTGGCGCGCCGACATGGTCTTCTTCCAGCACACCGAGCACATGTTGCCCGAGGCCGCGCTGCCAAAGAAGCCGCAGCCGTTGGCGCAGAGCTTCGTGGACTCGCCTTCCTGCTGCATTGTCTTGGTCGGTTGTGAAAAAGAAAAATGTAATTTAGCGGTTGGGAATTCTTTTTTTATCCCACTCGTTTTATTTAAAATATTTTCAACTGTCCACGTCGCAGATCTCGCAGCATATTAAACTTATTTATTTTAATTTCCGGACCTGGCCGTTTCCGCCTCTGCCAGCACGCGTCCTCGCTCTCCCTCGCTTTAGAAACCTATATTCCATCGAATGTTCGGGTTTCCTCTCTCAGATACGGACAAAGGTTCGTCAACCGAGGGAGCCTGTCGTGTCTTTGACCCGAGCGCGTTCGACGTTTTTCTCACACGGTGTGTAGTCTCTCTGAAGTCGGAACACTCGCATTACTTACTGGCACTTCGTATTGGCTTGCCAGCGCCCGACCGCCTCTCCCAGACCTTGTGCCGATAACAAAAAACGACTACGAGTCGAGTAGCTACAGGATGGCGGCTCCTCCCGCGGCCTGCTGTACCGGCTACAATGAAGTGCTCGAGTTGAATGGAGATTGCAGCTGTAGTACAGTGTACTAGAATACGTAGTGCAGGGAGCCAAGCTACTACTGCAGTGTCCCAGGAGAACGCCGAGACAAGCGCCGCGCAACTTGAACTTGAGTTGATCCGAAAGATCGCAAGCGCGAAACGGGCTCGGGACCGAAAGGTCACGTCGTGCCACGCGTTGTATCGTCCAGAAGTCTGAAGATGGTGGGCGGTCTTGGTGACACAGGCTACGTCACCGCCTGCAAATACGTGGCCGACATCCCGGGCGCGGCGACGGTTGGCACGTGTGTCTGCTTTGGGCTGCTTGTGTACCTAGTGACGTCGACAGTCACCAACTTTGTCGGCGCCACCTTGCAGGTAGACAAATTGACCTAGCTGTCAACAGCTCACTGGAGCGTAGGCGCTCGTCACCGACATTGGACTGCCCGCCGATGTGACCGGCGTGACGCTCTTGAGCTGGCACAACGCGCTGCCCAACCTTCTCGTCGTCGTTGTGGCCACCTCGCAAGGCGCGCCGGCAGCCGGTCTTCTGCTCGTCCTTGGCAGTAGCCTCCTCACGACCACAGGTTCTCGCAGCGACGTCTGGAATCTTCGATTTGAAACATCTGGTAGTCACGGTCGCGGCCTCGAATCTGGCGGCCGAGACGCACCAGACGGTGGACCCGGTCCGGTTTTCGCGCGACGTTGGGTTTTACCTCCTGGTGCTGGTGTATGTCGGCAGCCTCGTGTTGTACGAAGCGGTGTGGCTTTGCTTTGAGCACGCCTTGCGCATACTATGCGGTGTACTGTAGGACATGACGGAGACCACCCATCGCATCGTCGTTGCTAGTCTTGCGCTGAGCTATCTCCTCAGCATCGGTATCATTGAGGTCCTTCGGTGGCGCAAGCCACACGTGCCGCACTGGACGCCGCGCACCCGCGCCCGCCGTCGCAAGGCGTCTTACGTGGCGAAAACCACGAGGCCCGCCATGTACCTCATCGACTCGAGCCCCGAGTCCGACTGGGAAGAAAATGACATGCTGCTGCCGTCGCCACCGGCCGCGCCCAAGTCACCGCCCATGCAGTTGATCGACGCGTCGTCCGCGGCTCAAGCGTCGCCGCTCTCTGGTCTCATTGCGCTCGTCTGGCCCCAAAGCGTACCGTACTTGGTGATCCCACGACACTCTTCAGTCTGTATCAACTAGGCGCCGGCCAGCCAAAAGCCACATCCCGCTGCGACGTCCTTCCTCAACGCCCTGCGTGTGAGCGCTCAAATTGGCCCGAACGTCCGGCGCTGGGTCCTGCCGTTCGAGCCTCTCGTGGTGTCGCCACCGAGCTTTGCGTCCTACGGCGCGTGCGTGTACGACGCAGCAAAACCCAAAGCTCAACACCTTGACTCGCCCCTCCACGATCTGTACCGGCGCTACTACAACTATGTGTGGTGGCCGATCGCGGGTCTGTGCACATTCGTACGCCGCCTCTTGATTCCTCTTGTCGCCATCGAGGCGTGGCACCGAGGGATGAACATAGTCGCCATGTGGAGCGCCACCTCGCTGCTCGCCCACGCCATGTGGCCGACGTGGCCGTGGCCACCTACCTTGCTTCTCGGCTTGTCCTTTGCGGTGTTTGCAGCCGTGACATCGACAAGCTACCGCGGCCCGGCCCGCCTCGCGCGCCTCGTACATGTAATCGTGGCACTGCCCATGTCGGTGCTTGTGGCCTATGTGCTGCAAGAGGCCATGCTAACGGTTGTGCCAACAACGATACTCGGCCTCAACACCAGTGTCTCGTGGCTGCTCGGGCTTGTACGTCATTGGCCTTGCTGGCGCCATGTATCATGCAACGATGTAGGTGGTCGCGGCGGCGAATGCGCTGAGCGGGATCTTTGCCGCGGTAGCCGTCGCACACCAAGGCCAGCCCTCGATGGCGCTCAGCAGCTGCTTTGGCGGCCCGACGATGTCGCTCTTGGGCAGCGCCGGCTACATCTTGCACCACTCATGGTAGTCCTATCTACCAAAACGAGATGCATACAGTCGACATTAGGGCGCTGGGGACACCCGTCGTGTTTGGTCCGCCCTCGCTCGTGACGCAGCTCCTGATTGCACTGTGCATGCTAGCGGTTGTCGTCAACTGGGTCACTGTCGCCACCTACCATTTCGCGTACACGAACGGTCTCTGCCACTTTCTCATAGTCCTCTACGGGACGTATGTTGGGATCGGTCTCTGCATACTGCTGGAGTACGACCCCTTTCAAGGCCACCCGACCGCGTCCTAGACGACAACTTGCCTGCAAACTATATATATGTGTATACTAGCCTTTGGCTTTATATATACTAGTAGTACCAAGGCCACACACTTACTAGTACAATGCAAGGGGCCGCGTTACGGTGCGAGCTCAAGACGATCGAGCTTGGCCTTTTCAAAGTGCGAGACCTGGAGCTTCCGGCCGCCAAAGAACCGCCCGTGCAAACCGGCAAGCGCTATGACCAATGCCGTAGGAAACCACTCGAGTATCAACCAAGTATCAAGTACCTTTGGCCGCGTCCGGCTCGTTCAAAAACTCGACAAAGATCCGGACGGCTTCGTGGGCCGGCACGCCCGTCGTCACCTCGAACACAATACACTTGACGACGGGGCCGTACTTGGATTGGCACTCTGCCTTCACCTCGCCCTCGAGCTCGTCGTCGACTTCGCCGGGCCCGACCATGTTCTAGTATTGGCTCGTCGCGTAAGTATCAACTTGATACAAGCGTGCAGGGCTACCTGGAGAAGCAGCACTGTCTTCTTGGGCGTCACCTTTTGATCAAAGCGAGAGACGCGCTGACCAAAGCGGGAGACACGGGCTTTCGGTGTCGTCGTCGACGGCGCTGACGTCATTGGGGGGACGGTGGCCGGCGTCACCATGGGCGCCGGCGACGGTGCTGGCGGCGGCGTCTGTGCCGACGCAAAGCCGAGCCCCCGAGGCGCTTCGGATGCGTCGTCGTACTGCCCTGCCACTGCACGCGGACTTGGGCCCACGGCTGCGACCGGTGTCTGATCTTTCGATGTCTCTTCACTACATGTGGATGATGAATTTAACGAGGTATGGCCAGAGAGACGTGTACATCTTCTTGGTCATCCACGCAGGCAGGTTCATGCCTCGGCCACGACCACCTAAGTGTGCGATGAGATATGGGGTATTAGTAGGGCGGTTTTGCTCACCTGGCACATTTGTGGTGGCGACAGTGGGCATGCGGCCAGCTTCGAGGTCCCGCGCCAGCTCTTCGCGCTCGCGTGCTCTCTACAACATGCAGCAAGAGGAGTACTTGAAAGAGTACGAATCGAGTGAAAAGTACCGCGCGATCGAGCCGCTTTTGTCGCTCTTCTAGGTCGCGCTTGACCTTTTCTTGCTTCTTGCGCATCTTGCGATCTTCAACGTACGACATGTAGTCGTTCGGGCGCGCGGGGTCGTACTCGTCGCGGATCTCGCCGATAAACGTAGCGGGCCGCGCGCGGTTGTCGTCGTCGTTTTCGTTGTCGTTCTCGGTGGCCCGGAAAGGCGCCGACTCGTCCACCAGAGGCGCCGTTGGCTTGCGCGTCACCGACACAGTCGTAAACGATGCAAGGCCGAGCGACGTCTTGAGCGTCGGTGTCGACGTTGCTGCGGGCGACGGCGACGGGCGTGCCGGCGTCGCGACCGCGTTGGTCGCGCTCGTCGTCGTGACGGCCGCTGGACGGTTGGCAAACTTGGCCGCAAGCTTCTTCGCAGCCCAGCTCAAGCCTGTCGTACGCATCAGATATCACACTATGCAGGATGGAGGTGTCGACTTGGCGTGGCGGGTGTGGCTGGCTCGGCTTTGACGGGCTCGGGTGGTGTCGGCTTGGGCGATTCGACGGGTGCGGCTGGCGCCGGCTTGGCGGGCGTCGCTGGCGTAAAGCCGACGGGCTGGAAGCGCGACTTCTTGGCTGGTTTTGGGGCCACGACGCTCGGGGCGAAGCCAAGGCCGATGCCAGAGCCGTCGTTGGTCGGCGGCAGATCGCCGTACAGATCATCCATCGTGCTGCAAATGTCGAATGCCACATTAGCCACTCGGCCCCCATCTCGCGCGACCACCATACTTATACATATTCAGAGTATATTGTTTTGACCCCACCCCGCCCCATCAAACGGTTGTAATTGGTGCAAATAAACAATATTTGGCCAATCAATGACGTTGGCGCCGTGCAACTGGACGTCCCTCGTCAACCCAGCCTGTTGAAAGTGCTTCTGTATCTATCTAGTCGAGTCATAATGCTATGACAAGGCCTAGCACTTAGTATATATACTAGTATATATACCATATACTGAGTGCTCCCTCGCCATTTTCAATCGGAAACGACCTCGAAACGACCAAGACAGGCGGATGGCATGACCGACATCGTGCTTTCTCCGCGCCACATTTCGCTGTCGCGCGTGGTCGTTGAAAAGACCGAAGGCCGACTACTGGCGCGGAGTACGTACTGGGAGATCTACGAGGCGACCTATGGTGCGACGACGGTCGCCGCGCTTTGTTACCGCCAGTCCAGTCGCCGCGACACGCTTTGGGCCGCCACGGTCCACTACATCGACCGCCTTCTCGCCGCCGTCCACCCCGTGCGTTGTCATTGTGTGCAAAAACTTTTGATGTACAATATTGACGTAGAATGTGCTACAGGTGATCGGTCTCGTCTACGACTTGTCAGCGCATCGACGCGACGCGCTGCCCGAGTGGCTTCTAGTCGAGAAGACCTCGATGAGTCTCTTTGACGCATTACACACGCACAAGATTGTCTTTAGTGATGCTGACGTGATCACCATCGCGATCCAAGTCGTCCAAGCGATTGCGTTCTGCAACGGCGTCGGACTCCGTCATCTTACGAGTCGAAAAGTGCTCATGCTGGACATTTCGGTGCCAAAAATCAAAATTGGAGGCCTCTTTCAGCGCGATATTCTCGAAATGGCCAACGCACCGACCGGCGCGACACCGTATGAGCCCCCGGCGACGGCGTCGGCCATCAACGCCGACATGTACGCCTTTGGCGTCCTTCTCTGGGAACTCTGTACAAGCGAGAAGCCGACCGTCGAGCTCTTCCACTGTACGGCCCAGGTGCGCGTTGCCCGACCGCACTTGGAGCTGGCCGAAAGTCTCATTCGCGCATGCACGCACGAGGACGCGGGAAGTCGTCCGTCGGCCACCGAGGTTCTCGCCGAGCTTGTCGACTTTCAGGCGCGTCGCGCGTCGCAGCCACCAGAGATGTGCTGCCCGCCGCCGCCATCGAATGTTGTGCTGCATCAAACGCTCCAGCGCCTCGCGGCCGTCGAGAGCCAAGTGCTCGACGAGCAGCGCAATTTTGACGTGGTCGTCGGCCAACTCGAGTTTGCCAACGCCGAAATCGCATCGCTACAAGCTCTATTGAGTGTCAAGGCGGACGGGCTCGGGGCGCTCGAAACAGCACACGCCCGAGCCCGCGCGCGCGTCGCGGACCTTGAAGCCATAGAGGCTCCGCTGGAAACGCAGCTCGCCGCCGCGACACAGCGCGTGCGTGAGCTCGAGCACGAAACGCAGCGGCTGGAGCATCAGACGGCGCATCAAAGAGAGCAAGCGGCCAAGACACGCCTTGACGTGGAGAGCGTGATCTTCGAGGTTGGATGCTGGATGGATGCATGAAGGACTATTGTTGTGTTGTAGAAACAGCAGCTGCGACAACTCGTGCAGACGCTGGAAGTCAACTTGCGTGACGCAGAGACTACCTTGGCGCAAGAGAAGGATGTGAGCGACGAGCTCAATGTGCGCTGGCAACAAACGATCAAGCACTGCCAGCATGAACAGCTCCAGCGAGAAAAGGTCGAGCGACAACTGACGCAACTCCGGCTGGACAACAAGGTGCTCCATCGTCTCTCTTTGACGACGTGATCACCCAAGTCGACCGTAGGAAGCCGTGGATCAGCTCCGCGATTGGCATCCCGACACGGGTGTGCTCGCCAAACAACGTCAAGCTACTATGGACGATCAAGTGCTCGACCACTTACATCGCATCCAGGCGCTTAGCCGAGAGGTTTCTTGCTGCTTCTCATGGATGAGCCTTATGGCGTGCGGTAGATGGTCGCTCTCAAGGTCGACATGACCGCGCTGCAAGACGAGCTCGTCGCGAGCCGCGCGCGCGAACACGTACCACGACTTGACATCCTTCTCGTACGTAGCGCAATATGATCGTGTAGGCACTCGATATTCGCGTCGTTGACCTGCAGTGTGCATTAACGCTGGCCGAGGCGGCGACAGCAACAGCGAATGCAGCAAGCACCGACTGGGCCGACCGGTTCGCGCAGCAAGCCGACGACCTCCAAGCGAGCCTCGACGCCTACAAAGACCTGCAGCGCGCACACGCCGACGTGCAGCACCAGCTCTCGCGCGAACTGCAGCAACGCCACGACGAAGGTACACAATATGTCATTTTCTTGCTCATATAAAGACATCTGGCTGTAGAAATGGCCCGAAAAGCGCGCCGATGTTTGGACTTGAACTGCGACGCCCCGCCTTTCTTGATCCAGTCGTCGGGCTATTGCAAGGACCACCATGAAAAGCGAGAGCGCGCGAAGGCCGAGAAGTTGCGGCAGCTCGAAGAAGTGCAGCGTCAAAAGCCGCCCGACGATGTCGCCGCCGATGCATTTGCGCTTGGCGGCGTACAACAGCTCGTCAGCGTCGTGGAAACGTTCCAGAAAAGCGCTGCGATCGTCGCCGCAGTCCTCAAGAAACTGCATGTGCTCTGCGAAGCACATGGTACCACCGTTACCTTCTACTGTCGGCGAACGAGTTATATCCTGTGACATATAGTCACCCACAAGAACGAACTTGGCGATTTCGGGGGGTTCCCGGCGCTCGTTCGCGTCGCACAGCACCAGAGTACGCTCGAGGTAACGCAGCTTGCGCTCGCACGGTTGTTTGGCGTCGCAGCCTTCAACCACGACGTCAACCGCATTCGACTCGTGAGCGAAGGCGCACTCGACTCGCTATTGCTGGCGATGACAGGCTTTACACACAGCGTATCGCTTCAGAAAAGCAGCTGCACGACGCTGACCAACTTGGCACACAACTGCGGTACAATGTGCTTTGACTGCTACCAAAGTAGCAACGCAATGACTAGAGGGGAACCGCCGAAAGATACTAGAAAAAGGCGGCCTTGAGCGTATTTTGGACGCGATGCAAGCGTTCCCAAAGGAGCCATCGTTGCAGGAGAGTGCGTGCTGGGCCCTCATCAGCCTCGCGGGTTCGGGTAGGATGCCGCGTTGTTTCTGCTATGTATCAACTTGATATTTAGATTATATGTGCGAACACATTGCCGCGCGTGGTGGCGTTGGCGCGATTTTGGCGGCGATGCTCAACTGCCCAAGCGTCGCGTCGGTGCAATATTACGGCGTGTGGGCGCTACTGAACGTCGTCTCGGGCGTCGAGACGCTGCAAGAATTTGCAACCCAAGAAGGTATGTCCCTTATGTGGATAATATTGTCATGCGCACCGATTAGGGGCTATCGAGGTGTGCGAGGCCGCCATAGCATGCTTTCCCGAGCACGCTGGCATCCAAGACAAGGCGCAATGCGTCCTGGACATGCTCACCGACAATCAAGAGTTGTGTGCTACCGACGCCGTGTTGCCTGATAAATAACCGTTATGGAAGATAATGTCATGTCGCGTTGCCCAGTGTACACAAGATGTCGTAGTGGCATCGCCACCGAGCGCGCCAACGCTTCAGGGAAAGGAAGGTCATTCTTTGCATACAAAATGATAAACTAGAGCTAATGTAGTGTCCTCGTCTTCGAGGGTCCAGCGTATTGACGCGATGCAGCGGATAGGACTCATCGTCCTGGCGCAGAAGGCACAACACAAAGAGGCTAACGTCATCCAAAGAACAATATTGTACGTCTTCCCAAACGCCGTCGAGCGGCAGTCTCCGTAAAGCCTCGTTGATAGTACCTGGACCAGCTCAAGATCGCAATTCGCGCGGAATGTACAGTAATTGGGCGATTTATATATTTGAGCCAATCACAGGTCTTGAAAACCAGGTGTGGCGCCGCCTGCTATGCGAGGCAGCTCGGTTGCGACAATTGCGTTCGGAAATGAAAGCGCTGCCACTTGGCCTGGTGTTTCTCAATCCTTTGGAGAGCACAACACGCTACTTGTTATCGGCGTGCGAGCAATACAACGCGAGCAATCGACTGTTTTGTTAATCATGGCACGTACCACATTTATAGATTATATATGGCTATCTATGGCGTGCGGTTGAGCCTGTTGGTATTTTTCAGCACTGACAGTGAATTGCATGGGCGCCGCGTCTGGGCGATGGGACGAGCACATTGCAGCAGTGACACCTTTGTGAACATATACCGCTCCATATCTCCAACATTCCACAATTTGCTCACAAGCCTATTGCTAAGCTCGGTCTAGTGCACTGGATCGCCAACACCGACTCACAATTGCGCAACGCAAATACACAAAGGACTCTTATCGACGTTACAGTCAAGTCCTATACGAACACTAGACACCTGCGCCATTCGTGAGAGCGCTTAGACCGGGCACGTGCCGTTGACCGTGCCCTTGCCGCCAGCGATGCGGTAGCACTTGGTCGACGGGAAGATGGCCATGATGTTGCTCGTCATCGAGAACGAGAGCGCGCCAAAGAACATGAAGATCAAGATGGCGCCCGCAAGCTTGCTCTTGCCGCCGCGCTTCTTGAGCTCTTGCATGGCCGCCTTTTGCGGTGGCAGCATCCAGAGCCAGAAAAGCGCCGCGACCTTGCAGCTGTACGAGATGATGTAGCAGTACGCGACCTCCCACCGGATCTCGGGCGTGTCCGTCTTGATGTTGTCGACCGAGACGAGGAAGAACGAGTTGATGTACTTGTAGATAACAGACGCGAACGGCGACGCGAGGTTGGAGATCGTCGTGACGAGACCGTACGTGGCGCCCTCGTTACCGACATCGGCAATCTCGACGGCGCAGTACGTGGCGACGATGAAGCGGACACCACCCGGCACGTTGTCGGCGAGAATGACACCCGTGTAGAACCACTGGTTGCGATAGCCGTCAAAGATGGTCATAAACATGACAAAGCTGTCAATGGCAATGACACCGAGCGACGAGAGCGCGATGGCCCAGCGCCAGTTCCAGTTGAGACCCCACTTGCCGACAATGACAAGGATCGCCGAGAAGACGAGGTTGCCAATGACGGCCGAGAGCGAGTCGTTGAGCGGCTCGACCTGGGCCCAGAGCGCGGCGACCGGCTGTCCCGGCGTCGCGTTCATCGTTTGAAACACGTTGTTGACAAAGCGGAACGCGCAAATCTGCCACAAGACGCGCTTCTGGAGGAGGCCCCAGAACATGCTGGCCCACTCGGTGAACGGCACGCGCGGCGTCTTCTTCTCGACGACCACAAAGATGGTGGTAAAGACCACAAAGACGCACGGGATAAGACAGATGCCAAAGATGACGTTGGCGCCGATCGCAAAGTCAAACGAGCCCTTGTAGACCTTGCCGTTGAGACAAAACGCGATGATGAGCTGCGCGAGAATGCCGGTGAGCGTGCGCACGACGTAGATGGCTGTCTGGATGCGGCCGCGAATGGCCACGGGCTCACGCTGCGCGTACTGGACGACCATCGCATCGGAGGCGCAGGCCGCAATGACGTAGCCAAACGAGACGAGCATGCTCATCATGATGAAGAGCGTGCCCCGGTTGGGCGCGTCCAAGTCAAAGTACTTGTCGAGGTCGCCCGCGAGAAGCTTGGCCTTGGCCGTGTCGCACGTCTTGGGGTTGGGCGTCAAGCGGCGGTCGCAGAACGGCTTGCCGAACGGCGTGAACGTCATGACTGCGAGACAGATCATCGTGATGGTCCAGCCGATGAGCATCCACGACTTGCGGCGGTAGCCAAAGATGGGCACGCAGTCCGAGAGCATACCGAAAAAGACCTTGAACGACCAGCCCGTCGTGACGAGGACGCCGTAGGACGCGGTCTGGTAGCCTTCCATGCCGAGGTACACCGTGTAGAGCGGGTACACCAAGCTCGGGATCATGCCGTAAATGACACCGATCGCACCGTACTGCGAAAAGAGACCAAACGCCTCGCGCGAAAAGAGAGAGAGCGCACCGCCTTCAACCAACGCGCCGTCTTCGAGCTCACCGGGCGTCTTGGCGTCCGTATACTCGTCCTTGTCATTGTCATCGTTCTTGGAGTGGATGTACGAGACGCGCTCCTCGAGATCCATCGCGGCTTGTGCCATCCTGCGCAAAAGAAAAAGTGATTTCCCGACGCACGCGTCCACGCCGATGTGGGCCAGACGCGAATCGGAGGTCTACATCCACGATGCAAACAGCTGCCAGTACACTTTCCACTTTTGAATTTCATGGGTGCCTTGTTACGACAAGCTCAAGCCCAATCGGACGGCCAACGTCGCGCGATGGTGTTTGACAGTCGAGTCCGTAGATATGGATGCGCTCGTTATCAGAGTTGTGATTTTGCGGCTGAAATATCGGACGGAGGGGCAAGAAGGATGGGGCTGGACTCTAGACGCGGATGAGCTCAAATGCCGGTATGAAACTATGAAACGACGCGCTCGGGACCGTTGCTTTTCTTGTTGAAAGTCGAGAAGCGAAATTCAACTCTAGTGCTGGGCAACACAATGAACACGAGTCGATGGAGTACGTTGGGCGCGCAAGGTGATTTCTGCTACAGCGTACATCTTGGCGGCATGGACATGGCAGTGTTTCCTTCTACGGCCCACTGTTATGGTCTTGCACAGTACGAGTAAACCTTGAACCCGTGTTTTCTACGCTGGCAGTTTACGCCGGCTTGTTTGCTGAAAACATCTGGGCTCGCTGTACGGTGTACGAATCAATTGTGTCTTTGCCGCCTTGCAGCCCGTTCGGGATTGGCCACGTCGAGCGTTGAAACTCTTAGTGGCACAAAGACCCTGGCATAAAGTTTCTATGTGCTCGACGCCTGCTGGTCATCACTGAAATCTGTCGGAAATAGTGTCTCGCCAGTCACTCAACAAGCAACATATGTTGCAGCATGCAGCTTCGCACTCACGTGCGGTTGAAACTGAAATGAAGGTTAAATGTGTTGGGGTACATGTCTTCAGAAACCGCACCCTGTAAGCCTAGAGAGATAGGGGTCGATCGATCAACTTGTTGACGCGAGCGTGTGCCAATTCTGCGGCTTCTTTGGCCGTTTGTCGTGCTCCCAATTATTTTCGGGACAAATCATTGAAGCGGCAGCTCGAAGAATACCGAGACTGTGGGATGACAAAGGGTCTCCATCTACTAAAAGTGATGCAGTACAAAAAAGTACATCGAGGGCTCGTAGAGCCACCACGTCGATCCTGATGCACGCCATGGGTTCAGTATCGGTGCCCAAGCTGTCTAAATTACCAGTACGTACTGAGCACTAGTACATGCGAAGTAAACCGAGATTAAAATGCTATTAGTTGAGGATGAATTTGATGCTGCTCTTGTCGATGGGAGGCAACACGAGTGGAAGGTGCACTGCGTGATGTTGCGCCAGCCCTCGCCGAGCTTTGCGCCGCAAATACTTGTCTCGCTGGCGATCGTGCTCCAGCTCGAGGTTGTCGGCGTATCGCGCGCGCATGCGGGCCAGGATAGTCGCGCGGTTTCGCGCATAGTACTTTCGGTAACGAAGGCGGTGGGCCTCGGCATCACGGCTGCTA